TGTGTGTTTTTAGCTAAATTTTAACTAAAAAAAATAATATTGGCTGATCACTTTAACCCAAGGTGTACAATCACCACCCTTCTCAACACTTAACATGTGTCCATAGGCTTAACCATGGTTCTACAAATACGAAGCAAGGAGTTAACTATAGTTATGCTCATGAACACGTGTCAAGTATTAAGAAGGATGATGAGAGTACACATGGATTAAAATATTGAGGGTAGATGCTCTAATGAGTTTATATTATTTCCCAAAAAAAAAAAGGTGATGACTTTAAATTTCCTCCCATAAGAAAAAGAACAAATAGACCCCAATATAGAAAGTCTCATCAATGTTGTGATGGAAACCAACTTTTGTTGTTTAAAATTGTAAAGTTTGATAAATCTAAAAGTTGGATGAATCTTGGTCCACTATAAGACAATTCTCCAACATATGGATTCTTTTTATTGTTGTTGGAGTTGGAGAATTATAATGTTTTAGTTAGTTTCATAGTTCTATATATTTTGGTCACTTTTGACTAATTGAGCCGCCAGTCACTGTCCAGACAACATCACACATTTTTGTTTGCTGTCATTATACATTTGATATAAAATATCAATTCCTATCCTATATGAGAGTTTAATAAAATTTGATTTTAATTGATGCTTTATGTACAAGTAAATAAACTGGTGCTCTTCTGGGAAGGATCTAGGATTTTAAAATGGGATGGGCTAAATTTATCTTATATATGCACCAGAGGGTGGAACATAAAGGTGTAGCTACTGCAATGTACCAAGTCATTCTTTTATTTAGTTAATTTTTTTTTCACTTAAAAGGATTTATGTGTGAAGAGGGTTATCGATGAAAGGAAAATTAGCAATAAAGTGTTCGTAAAAAAAAAATTATAAATATATATAAAGAGAAGTTGGCAGTAGGCTAAAAAAGTAATAACAAGAAAAATACTTTTCATTTTAGAGAGAACTTTATAGAGATGTCCTACACAAGAATGTTCTGGAATAGTCGAAGAGAATTCAATTAATTAGTTTGTCTCATCTTCTTGTCCTTGAGTGTATTGTTGGATGAGTGATGAACCTGTGAGTCTTTGGATGTGAGCGTGGCATGATTGTCATTAGTAGGTATGGGTGGGCTAAATTAAATTTTAGGCTGATAAAATAACAACTCACTTGGGCATAGCACATGTTAGTCCCTTCTAAGGACCGTCCCCAGTGCTCTACCAATGCGTTCCCACCACTGTGTTGGTGGATTTCTTTCTCCAATGTAACCAAAAAAATAAGTAAATTGGTGCTCTTGTCCTTTGAGAGTTTCAACGACCACGCTCTGTGTATAAAATCAACTTCCCTGGACAACAAATGTGGGTAACCGTCTCAATCTTAAAGATGGTCTTATTTGGACCTCCCAGCGGGAAAATTCTATAATATATATTTTTGGGTCAACAAAAAATATATGCTCATCCTTATGTGATGATGAAAACGAGATTGCCAACGGGGACTAACTTAGTCGAAAATGACATTGACTTGCATATCAGAGGTCTCAGGTTCGAATTCCCACAATATCATAGTTATGCGTGTGGGAGAAATCTCCCTCTCCTTTAGTTTAGACTATCACTTGTATTCTATAAATTAATAAATAAATAAAAAAGAGAATGAGTTGAGTTGACCTTGAAATATTATGTAATTAACATCACACCGAAAATTTTCATCAACCAACAACAACTAATTAATCTAAAGCTAAAATGTTAATTAAGTATAATAAAACATACTTGTCGTATAAAATAACATTGGTCAGTGTATCTTAACAAGAATTAAAAAAAAAGAAAAAGAAATTGCAAAGGGAAGACTAAAACAAGGTGGGGACTTATCAAAGTTGTCTCAGAACCAACATGTGATGTATGCTAGCAATCTTCTCTCTAACCTTCTTCTTTGGATTTTCTCCATTTTTTGCTTGAAATGTGTCATTCTCCTTACACTTAAAATAATGTCATTAATATATTATAAAAACTAATTTTTGCTTTCCAAGTTTACCCTTATTAAATGTATTCAATTTATCCAAAAAAATTTCAGAACTTTCTTACCATCTTATTACTTTTTTTTATAAAGAAAATGTCTGCTTTTAAAAAAAAGAGGAAATGTCCCTTTGTTAAATTTTTTTGTTTTTTTAACACAAAGGGTTTAGATAGGAAAAAACAAAGTCCTTCTTACAACAATACCGTCTTGTGTAGCTTGATCAACAAAATATTCATGCATGTCTGAGGTCCACAAATTATAATTTCCCTATTACATAATACATATAGTAGATATGCACCTTAATTAATACAAATATATTAGTAATACACACAAATAAATCATATATGACAATATTAACTACCATTGGGGTGCTTACGGATGTGAATGACTTTTTTAATCTATCTAAACCCTTTGTGTTAAAAAAAAAGAAAAAAAAAAAGACATTTTCTTTAAAAAAAATAATTGACATTAAAAAAAAATTTAATAAGATGGTAAGAAAGTTGTGAATTTTTTTTTGGATAAATTGAATATATTTAATAAGGGTAAACTTGGAAAGCAAAAGTTAGCTTGTATAATATATTAATGACATTGTTTTAAGTGTAAGGAGAATAACACATGTCAAGCAAAAAAAAGGAGAAGAGTAGAGAGAAGGTTGCTAGTATTCTTCAACAAATTTAGTACCTAAACAGTAGTTTGATTTAGGAGATAAGCATGAGAAGGGAGGAACTACTATAATTATATTATATATTATATATTTTTCCATTTCACATAAACCAACTCCTTAAAAAATTCACATAGTCAATCTTCAGTCTTTCCAACGTTAATTTGTTAATTGTCAATAATCACGCATGGATTTGACTTTAACGTATGGTCCTTGACTCTCCTAGAAACTTGAAAACACTTGATGTCAAAACCTCATTGGCTATCCTATGTGGTCTACAACTGTAATAATATAGAAAAGTGGCGGCTGGTTCAACGGGGCCTTCCCAGAAGGTTCATTGCTATGAAGATGGATCTTCCAGCTTCTGTTTTTTCGCAGAGGATAAGCATATTCTCCTATGTATATATATACACGTCTAGAGTCCATTAAAGCTGTCTGGTAATTATGATTTTCTTCAGGTGTGAGGTACTCTGCTATATTTCTTAATTATTCCAGAAGTTTCTGCATTTTATTCAATTTTTGTTTGTTCAATCATTTTCCTGTTCATAACATAAACCAGTTTGCTGATATTGTGCAAATCTGAATCTTGTTATCTGTTTGTGTTCTGGGTATCTCTCACTCGTCCAATTGGGTCAAGTTCTTATTTGGTGAGTCTCATCACTTGAGATTCCAATATTCATTTCAATTTCCTTTCTATTCCAAAATTTCATATCACAGTTGGGTTTCTTTAAAAATTAAAAATCTGACCAGCTAAATTGGTTGATAGATTGCTTTTATGGATACCCTTCTTGAAAGATATTCTCTTTCCATGGAAAGATTCAATTTTGGGCATGGCTCAGCTTCATTCTATTCTAATCAGAATCTGGTAAATGGGTTCCAAGTAAATCAAGAATCCACCAGTCCAATTTGCCTTTCAACCAATTTGGACCACCCTAGTGATTCAAATACTTCTTTGAGCTCTGGTTCAGATGGAGATACTATTGACATTAGTGAGTACAATCGCCCTGTGATTAAGTACATTAGTGATATTCTTCTAGAAGAAGACCTGGAGGGTAAGACCTGCATGTTGCAGGACTGTTTGGCCCTCCAAGCTGCTGAAAAATCTTTCTATGATGTCCTTAATCAGAATGACCCTCCTTCACCCAAGCAACCCCCTCTTTCTGTGCACCAAAGCTTTGAGAACTCAGATGATGATTCCCCACATAGTTGTCATAGCAGTAATGGCTCTATTGCTGCAAAGACAGACTGGGTTTTTGATCCTTCAGAAACTTCACATGTCCAATCTTCTCTTGTTCAGTCTCTCTCAGATGCTGGTTTGGTTTCAGATTCACTTTCTGAGATGCAAAGTCTTGGGCATTTTGGAGGGTTAGGGGAAGCAAGCAAGTTCCTTCCAAATGTAAAACTTGAGGGGTACCGGTTAATGCCTCCGGGTCTTGATCAGTGGCCTTCAAGTACTAACATACTGATGACAACGCCAGACAATGATGGCTACAACTCAACAAATGGATCAAAGGGAAAGAAAAATCATCAAAGAGAGGATGCTGATTATCCAGAAGAAGGCAGAAGCAACAAGCAGCCAGTTGCTTTTGCTGACGACTCGGAGCCGCAAGAAATGTTTGATGAGGTATTACTTTGTCATGGGAATCATGAGTTTGAGTCTTGTTCTCCTGATGAATCTTTGATAACTGAGGGAAGTGGGAAGTTGCAGCGCAGCAAGCAAAAAGGGTCTAAAACAGCGCGTTCAAAGAAACAGAATAACAACTGGGAACTAGTAGATTTGAGCACACTGTTAACTCAATGTGCACAAGCTGTGGCAAGCTATGACCAAAGAACTGCAAGTGAACTACTCAAGCAGATAAGGCAGCATTCTTCCCCGTATGGTGATGCTACCCAGAGATTAGCTCATTACTTTGCGGATGGCCTAGAGGCACGCTTGGCTGGGGCCAGAACTCCATCATACTCTTTCCTTGTTAGTATGCAGATATCAGCTGCTGAAATCTTAAAAGCTTATGAGGTATTTGTTACTTCATCCCCTTTCAAGATGGTGTCACATTTCTTGGCGAACAGAACAATTCTGAAACTAGCAGAAAAAGCAACAAGGCTTCACGTTATTGATTTTGGCATTTCGTATGGTTTCCAATGGCCCTGCTTTATCCAACATCTCTCCAAGAGACCGGGTGGACCTCCTAAGCTTCGTATCACAGCAATTGAGCTTCCCCAACCAGGTTTCCGACCTACAGAAAGGGTTGAAGAGACGGGGCGTCGCCTGAAAAAATATGCTGAGAGATTTCATGTCCCATTTGAGTACAATGTCATTGCTCAGAAGTGGGAAACAATCCAATTTGAGGATCTTAAAATTGACAGAAATGAGCTGATTGTGGTCAATTGTATGAACCGGCTAAAGCACATACCTGATGAGACAGTGATGGTGAACGGTCCAAGAGACATTGTCCTAAAGTTGATCAAGAAAATTAATCCAGACCTATTCATGCATGGGGTTGTCAATGGGACATACAATTCGCCCTTCTTTGTCACAAGGTTCAGAGAGGCACTCTTCCACTTCTCTGCACTGTTTGATGTGTTTGAGGCTAGTGTTCCTCGTGAAGATGAACGGCGGCTGATGTACGAAAAATATGTATATGGTAAGGACATATTGAATGTCGTAGCGTGTGAGGGACTGGAAAGAGTTGAAAGGCCTGAGACATACAAGCAGTGGCAGGTTAGGAATGTGAGGGCTGGGTTCAAGCAACTCCCAGTAGACCAAAAGCTTTTGAAGAAAGTGAAGAGAATGTTGAAGTTTATGGGTTATCATAATGATTTTAGGATTGATGAAGATGGCCATTGGATTCTGCAGGGATGGAAAGGAAGAACCATTTTGGCTCTTTCCTTTTGGAAAAAAGCCTAGACCACTATTAAATCTTTAGTCTCTTTGCTTTTGAATTTGTCCTTTAATCTTACTTCAATTGACGAAGTTGTGTTTACTGTTTTGTCATGTTGTAATGAGTTCATTGTTAATTTTATTCGTTCATCTTTCCAATGGGAGCTTGATCTGGGATTTGCTGTATTTTGATCCAAGTTGAAACAGAGCACTAATTGATATGGATGATCAAATGCAGTTTGTTTTACATACATTTATACTATTAGTATTAGCGGCCCAGGGTTTCTTGGCTAATGCCTTTATTTAGCTTCTAAATCTTGTTGTACATTCATTTCTAAAGGCTTTGCTTTTATGGTTCTATCTCTTTGTTGGTAAATTTGCTTTTACGATTCTCTGACTTGTGTTTGGTTTGGTTGTTTTTCATGTGTTTATAATGAAAATTTATATATCCAACTTCATCTCTCGCCCACAAGACCCTTTTCGTATCTTTACACATTTGAACAAACAAACAAAAAAAGACAAAACAAAACAGTGCAAAAGAAAAGAGCAAACAAGACGGCTTTTTTGAATTTGATGTTTTACTTTTATATTTTTTGAATCTGATAGTAGTTTTGATCAAAGAGATGATCAGTGGGCATGGCCCTGAGGGTGACGGCCATGGCCCTCAAATTTGGGAGGCCTCAAAATTTTGTGTATTGACCAAAAAGAAAAAAACAAGGCATATATAAACTTTTATGTATTTAATTGAAGCTAAGGTTTGTTGATATGTATTCCGAATTGAGCCGCCAGTCACTGTCGAAACAACATCACACATTTTTTTTGCTATCAATATATATTTGATACAAAATATCAACTCCTATCCTCTATGAGAATTTTATTAAACTTGATTTCAATTGATTTGTGTATTGCCATCTGAGAGCTGCTTCTGCTTTTGTCTTTGTTCTTCGGGATGCTTTATCTTTTATCTTTATGTACAAGTAAATAAACTGGTGCTCTTGTCCTTTGAGAATTTCAATGGCCATGCTCTCTGTATAAAACCAACTTCCTTGGACAACAAATTTGGGTAACCGTCTCAGTCTTAAAGATGGTCTTATTTGGACCTCCCAGCAGGTAAATTCTATAATATATGCTCATCCTTATGTGATGAAAATGACAAAAGTAGATTAAGAGGAAGACTATGATTTCAAATAAATGATGATCACGCAGCAGGATTTGGGTTTGACCGTTACATCACTATGTAGTGTTAGGTTTTACTTTTATTTAGTACCTAATCAGTAGTTTGATGTAGGAGATAAGCATGTTAAGGATTAGTTATATATTTCTAATCTTAATTGTTGGATTGCATTCATTAGATGTGTTGGTAGATTTAATATGCAACAGACATGCAATTCAATGACCATTAATGTGGGTATTTTTGTTTCTAGGGTAGGATCCGCAGCTCAAATTAAAGCCATAAAACAAGTAGGTGGCAAATCAAAATTGGAATAAAGCTAACCCATTTTTAGTGAATCTTAAGAGGGATATGCAAGATGAATTCTGCGAAATCATGGATTAAGATGAGTTATTGTGGATGCAAAAATCTAGAGTTAATTGGCAGAATAATTCACTGAAATTGAATAAGTAAACAATTGAATTGGATTCAGTTGGATGGTACCAATGAAATCAAGCGCTAAAGCCCATTTCTTATTGAATTAACCGATCAATTTACTTGACCAAAAAAAAAAAACCGATCAATTTAACTTGTTTTGCTATTGAACATTTATTTTTTATTTCAAAAAATTTTGCAAAAAATTTCGACATATTTTATTATGAGAATAAATCTTTAGGGTTGTGCCCATTCTCCCTCCTCTTCCGCTTTACAACCAGAATAAGGGACCTTAGAATTCACCCTAAATGTCGATGAAAAAATGGGGTCATGGTTGCGATAAGATGTAGGAGAGAAGTGCATTTAGGAGCCACCACATATGTTTACTCTTCAATTATTTTGTGAGATTGTGCTCTCCGGAGTCGCAAGTTGGTATTTTCATCTTTCTCCGAGAAAGGAGTTCCATCAGCAAGCTAAGCACTTAAACGTATTTCTTCTCAAATCGAAGCAGCCTCGAGCAAATCTTCTAGAAAGCGTACCCTTTCTCTCTTCTAAGAAAAATAAAAAATCTAAATATACTATTATAATATAAAAAGAAAAATATATATGATTCCGCATATTTTGACAAATTCAAGGTGAAACATGGGTTTGCTACCTCCGCAAAATTGAAGGCCTATGGCTGATAGATATTGCACACTATCATTTAGGTATTGCAATTCTTTTCCTAGTAGAGAGTAATCAATGCATAATTACATATCATTTTGTACCTTTCTAGTTTATGATTTGGTTATGTTTTTTTAGCTAAACTTGTGTTTTTTTACCCTCTTTTATCTTTGTTTCAGTGTATTAAACTTTGGGACTCATTTAATGCATTTTGGAGTTAAGTTAGCTCAAAATTGTGTCTGCAGATCAGCCAACTTCACAGATTAGATTGTAGGTGCTCAAGAAGAACCAGCTAATGAGCCATACATCATTGGAAAGATGTGGACGTCCAGTTTCTGAAGCATTTTATGGTTCATAATTCCGAGTCTTCTAGAGGAAGTTATGCAAGTTTTGGCAACTAAAGGTGAAATTTGCAGCATCTGCATTACCGTGCCAAAAATGATATTTGAAGCTCTTTCCAATTTTTCCTTGAGCTAGGATACATATGGTTGGAAAGATAAGACAAAGAGCTTCAAGATCCATATTTTTTCATATTTTTCTAAATGGAGGAACAAGCCTAAAATGAGCCTACAAGCTAACTGCAGTGCATTGTCATGCATGAGCTAATTGTTTTTAGTGGAGAAGTTAGATAAAGTTGGTGAAGTGGGTGTTGTAGGTAGAGACAATACTCAAATCAGATTTGTACTTCCCTTAGGCCTATAAATAGTGAAGTTCTCTAAGCTTTCAAACACACCCTAAGGGGGGAGCTTTCAAACATCTCTTTAGAGCTCCTCTCCCTTCTCTTCTTCAC